GGCAGCTTTGTCAACAAAAATGGACGTGATTCCCTGATTATATAACATTTCTGATTCTGTTAGTAGTAACTTTCAACCATGTAGGTGACCAACTGGTCTTTTGGCCCAAATTTATTGATGATGGATTTTCAGAGGTTAGATATTGTTGTCGAGAGTTGTGATTATAACGAGGTCATCTTGAGAACACATGAGAAAATATTCCATAGGTTTTTTACCTTTTTCAAATCTCATACATCTACCTAAAAGTATCCGTTGGCAAAAAAAATAGTGTCTTAATATCCCCACACAAAATATTATTTTCTTTTCCGTTTCTTAAAAATGGCTTCAATGTCAAACCCTCTATTAAGTAAATTCATTGTGGCCGTGTTGAGTGGCAAGAGTAACGAGTTTTCTTATGAAATATCAAGTGGTAGTATCCTCGCGGGGCCCACAGACGAGAATACTTGAAGAATTCGCGTATCAAACAAGAGTCATTCAGATCTTGGCTTTTGCAATGAGATGTTTTGTTATGTCGTTTCAAGTTTCGTCGTTGTTTGGTTAATTAATTATGATGAAAGTTTCTGGGGAATTTTCGAGCAGCTCTTTATATTTCCAATTAAAGTATTGATTCTACTGTATTATTTTTCAATAATATTTTTCCACACTCACACTCACCATTGCCAGTAATCCGTTTCATAATGAGATCCATTATGATACAGATTTTTCATAACGATAGATAGATTTCTAATCATTAGAAACCTATAACTTTTCAATCAAACATGCTGTACATTTGACGTTTGTCCTAAATTCCTATCTTGTTGTGTTATTTGTCAAAATCAGTAGGTATTATTAGGTATTAAGTTTTCACAGAATATAGCTAATTTAAAGAAATGAACTTTAAACGTTCAAGTCAGTCTCAGATATACCTACACAGTAGGTTGAATGGACTGACGCCTATCAGAAAACAACTACTCCCCTGGGTAATACCACGAAGGGCATTGGATTATATCCGACAGGCGTCAGTGCAGGAATCTTCACAGAAAATTTCCTGCATATGCAATTAGCAATACAACTGAAAGAGTCGACTTTCAATTTTGGAACGGACACACTTGCAGACCGGTTTCGGGCTCATTAGCCACTCATCAGTGCAAGATAGTGGCCATCATCGACCTAAAGTCAATGATATTCCATAATTGGAAATCGGAATTCTTTCAGAGTATGTCATTCCTTTTCCTAAGTTGAAGCGAAACAACAAAATGTCACTCCATCTAGTGGACGAGGTACTATAGGCGTCAATCCATTCAACCTACTGTGTAGGTATATCTGAGACTGGCTTGAACGTTTAAAGTTCATTTCTTTAGATTTGTTTACTGCCAGTCTTCAAGCATAGCCCACTGACTAATAAGAAAGATTTTCTTCTTTATTCAGAGGAATCGGGCAAATTTCGGATATGCAGTTGGTTAGTACCTCGTCCACTAGATGGAGTGACATTTTGTTGTTTCGCTCTGAAAGAATTCCGATTTCCAATTATGGAATATCATTGACTTTAGGTCGATGATGACCACTATCTTGCACTGATGAGTGGCTAATGAGCCCGAAACCGGTCTGCAAGTGTGTCTGTTCCAAAATTGAAAGTCGACTCTTTCAGTTGTATTGCCAATTGCATATGCAGGAAATTTTCTGTGAAGATTCCTGCACTGACACCTGTCGGATATAATTCAACGCCCTTTGTGGTATTAGCCAGGGGAGTAGTTGTTTTTTGATATGTGTCAGTCCATTCAACCTACTGTGTTGGTATATCTGAGACTGGCTTGAACGTTTAAAGTTCATTTCTTTAGATTTGTTTACTGCCATTCTTCAAGCATAGCCCACTGACTAATAAGAATATTGCTAATCTTCGATAATTATTTTATCAAAACGTCTGATATCAACGATATAAAAGAATTACCGTCGATTCCTCTACACATATTGGAGAAAGCTGAAAATGCAGTACAAAATATTTTACCCCAAAAATCTAAGAAAGTTTACGAAAAACTATATCAACGGTTTGTGGTCTAAAGAAATACAAATAATATTTCGACATTCTCCGATAATGTTTTGATTGCTTATTTTCAAGAAATAATGGAAACTATGAAGTCGTCTAGTACGTGGACACATTATTCAATAATAAAATCGTTAGCAAATCAACCTTATGTGACTTTTTTTACGTTGAAGATGATCACTTGGTTATCGAAACACCTGTCGAGGTGTTAAAATAACGGTTTGGTGTTGAGGAAAAAAACTCTAGTAATGTTCATTACTACACCAAAGGTTCCATACAGTACATCACAAGTAAAATTAAATATTGTCAATTAAATTAATGTAAATTAAACATAAATCTACTCGTGATTATTCTTTGGCTAGAAATTGACAATAAGTATAATGAAAGAAATACAAGCATATTTCAGTAATATTGATGTACTTCTGGTAGGTTGTGATTTATAGATAGTTAACTTTTTGCCCTATCAGGAGTTAGCCTGCTACGTGCTGCATGATGGATATTACAAGCTTCAGAAACAACTTGTTTGCTGAAGACATCTCCAGCTAGTGATATCAGGTATATAAAAGCCTACTAATTCATTGTCGTTTCATGAAAATCCAAACAGTAACTATGTGCTGATCCTAAGAAACAATTTTGGTGTCTGTCATATCGTCACCCCTATCATCAGTGACACTGTTCGTAATAGTTTCGATTACACTGCTGTCTCCTTCTTGAGCAGTAGCTATCCTGTTTTTATTTAATTGGTTTGTCCATGTTCATCGTCAAGAAAAGTGGATCCACAAACGTGATCAGTGTCAGCATTTTTTATGCTATCTACATTAGAGAAAAGTGCCCCTTAAATGTACCTTAATTTCAAATTTTATACAGGGTGTCAATTTGAAAACTTACCACCCTTAATATCTTCCTTTCAGTAAATAATATGAGGAATCGAAAAACATGTCAATTTTTTAGTCAAGGAAGACACTTTCAAAGAATATTTGTAGCCCTCATGGTTCAACCCCCAAGGAGTAATAGATGTTACCCTTATAGTCTTAAATAGGAAGGGATGTCAAGTGGCACATCGTTTTGATTGGCGTTCAATTCTGCTTCCAATGATACCCTGACATATAATTGGATTTTTCCTGTTCTAAGATGCATTATTGAATCGACTTTACAAAATAAAATTTAATTTGGGAGAAAGGCATTTCAAACATAGAATCTACTTACGCTTATCTTATAAAATGTTCGAAATGTCGTCCATTTTGCTCTTAACAGTAATAAAGTCTGTTTTCGAACTCCCTTCTAAAATTATGGAAAACTTCACTAGGAATTGACTGACATGCTGCTGTAATTCGTCTTTCAAGTTCTTCGATATCAGAAGGCTGTGTTTTATAAACAACGGAACAAAGATGCCCCCAAAGAAAAAAATCTAAGTGTGTTAAATTCGGCAATCTCGTAGGCCATTCAACTGTTCCCCTTCTGCCAATCCATCTCTAGTTCAACCTGTCAGACGGAAAGAAAATATTGAGGTAGAGCACCGTCCTGCTGGAAATGTAACAGATCCTCCTGCAAAAGTACATTACCTCCTGCATCCATTTTAGTATCTAATTCGTGAGTTATAAGAGGATCGATATTCTCTTCAAGCATTTCAAGATACAGATTTCCAGTCAAGTTTTCTTCTAGAAATAATGGACCAATAATGGCATTTCCAAGAATACCAACCCAACCATTAACTTTTTATGGGTAGTGTGTATGCCCTTCTCGAAAAATATATGGGTTTTCGTCACTTCAATAGCGAAAATTATAATCATCTTCGTGAATCTCTTGAAGAATCTGCATTTTATAAGGATGAAATGTATGCATTTTCAATGCTTTTCTTACAGTCTTGCGTGACATTCCCGTCTGTTCCATTACTGTTCGTACGGAGCTCGTGGGCTCCTTACGAACGGTAATTTGCAGCAGCAAATGTTCCCAATACTTCAATTTGAACTGCTTCATTTAGTACTCTGTGGTTATTTCGTAAAACTTATTCACCAAATCAAGCACATAATGGCACATATCGGCGACTTACATTACAATTTGGATGTCTATTTTTACACTTTTATACACTTATTGAAGTAATCACTAAACAGCCCAACAGGTACAACTGTATGCACAAAAATACCACATTTTTTGCCTGAAAACAGAAATTTTTCACAGCAGAAATAGCAAAAAATGACGGCTATCTGTACACTTTTTGCGATGAGAATTAAAAATGCAGTATTTACTAAACACAACTTTTCTACCATCTACGTTTTACTATCAGACTACTTTTTGATGTAAATTAATTGGAGCTAATGGCCAATCAAAATGATGTGCCACCTAACCTCCTTCCCATTTAAAATTCCAAGGGCAACATCTACCCTTCCTAGGGGGTTGATCCACGAGGGCTACAAATAGTTTTCGAAAGTTTTCCCCATTGACAATATAGTTGACCCGTTTTTTCGATTCCTATTGTTGTTTACTGGAAGAAATATATTAACGGTGGGAAGTTTTCAAATTAACACCCTGTAAGTGTAGATGTATGAATCAACACCAAACAGCGCTGTTTCGACCCTCCGTAGGTCTCATTAGTGGTACGAGGCTGAACCAAGAATACTTGCTGAACTCAATTGTACTTGATAAGTTTAGTCGGCTTTTCAAAATTCTTGCGAGTGAAATTATTAGGGTAAAAATTTAGGGTTCTTCTTCATTTCAAATACAACGAATTATTTGCTTCTTTATCGGGAATGTTGCTATTCGAAAACTAAATCAAAAGGACGAATTCATCTGATAACAATTTGAATAGCGATTCAACAATGTTAATCAGTTGAAAATCGTTAGAAAATATTTTCAGTGATAAAAACTACCTAAAAAAGTATATTTGAATGAATAAAATATTTTAGAGAAAGTCACTGAATTTTTGTTTTTTCTTATCATAACACTACGGAAATTGCTAACATAATTCTTTTTTTTTTTACAGTAGCATCATATCCTTTGATAATGATCCTCAAACGCCTGTTCCTGCCGGAAAATCGTCAACTCCGGTACTTGCAAATAGCACAAGGCAAAAAAGTATTCGTTCCAGGTCGACCAATTTAGAGGACTTGGACTATGATGGTAAGAATTAACTCTGACCGATGAAATAACTAATATACCTTAATTTGACATTCAATTGCCTCACGATATTCAAGCAACAACAGGTACACTGCTCACACTCGCGAGGAATTATTCAATAAAATAAATTTATATTTAGTTCTTCACAAACATTTATGAAATCCAAAAAGGTTCCTCTCTCAGGTAACCTGTGCAGCTCTGGGACCTCAGCTCTGGGCCATCTCCTGGAATGTCCTCTACTGCAGCCATAGTGGTGTACTAAAAAGACTCCAGTTGATTGATCTACAATGAGGTTGTCAGATATTGAAACCGTTGTGGGGAATGATACAAGCTGATAAACCTGATGTAGTTCTCCTCGATCATCAGAGTAATACGATATTCGTCGTGGAGTTGTCAGCTCCGGGTGAGACGAATATTATTCGAGAAGTGCCATTCTGTTATAATGCTTGTTCTCATTGTTGGTGTCCTCGGTGGAATGATGCCCTCTCCACTCTCAAATCTTAAGTTCAACCCGACTTGCTGCAGTATGGCAAAAATCTTGGACAAATGCAGAAGGCCATTCTTGATTCATTGCGTCTACTTATGGCACACGGTTCTTGGACCCAATGATCCCTAACATCACGGTGTGGGAAATGATCTTTGGTTGCTAATACCGGCGCGTCCTCCGAATGTATCGGACCTTTGGGGACAGTGTTCAACTGGCGCAACTATTTAGTTGATAAATACTAGTAATGATAAAGTTGATGCAAGGTAGATTCATACTTTTCTGCTCTTGAAGAGAAGGATACGTCGTCACCTCATTGCATAACTTAGCCTCAAGAGTTAGAGAACTGAGAAGCTTTCGCGCTTGATCCGATATTACAGGCAGTTGGGGTCGTTTAGTCAACATCCATCTGCTCTATAGACTCCGGGTGGGAATCTTCGGTTACTTCATGATCCATAAGGTCCCAAGAGTAGCTGCAGGACTCTATGGAAAATTGGATATTTTAATTGGGATATTTTAAATAATTTCCAACAGCAACGATTTAATTGATGAAAGACATTTATGGAGGAGTAAATATTTGTTGTCTTCAGTGTGAAAAATAAACAAAGTTAACTCAATAGCAGTTACTGTAATTAGGTAAATATGGAAATAAACATTTATTAACTATCCCAAAACATTAAACATCGACATTCAAGGAATCACTTGCATATAAAGCCATAATATTATTCAATATGTTGCATCAAGATATTGAAGATTTGCATATTATACCATTTAAAAAACAAATAAAGGAGCTATTAACTAATAAGGGATATTACAGCGTAGAAGAATTCTTAGAAAGGGATACACTGTTATAATGATTATTGCTTCCACTGCATTTCTTTCATCCTAGTTAGTTTTATGTATGTATATATATATATATATAGTTGTATGTGTATCTGTGTTTGTGAAATAATCAACTATAGGCATATTGCAATACTGTCAAATGTTAGTAAAATCTTTGAAAAAGTAATACAATAGACTGATCACATATCTAGAGAATAATAATCTTCTAAGTTATATGCAGAATGGATTTAGAAGAAAGAAATCGACTACTCGAGCTAACTATCAAGCTCTATGTAAAGACTATGCTGGACTTGTCCAAGGCTTTTCACAGTGTTGACCATAGGCTGCTTATCACAAAACTGTCGTTCTATGGTATCAAAGGGCTGCTACTCGAACTAATTACGTCCTATTTGAAAAATACTCAGCAATTTGTCACTGAAAAGGATACTGATGGAAATCTAATGAAATCAGAAATGATATATATTGTAAGAAGTGTACCCCAGGGGTCAGAGTTGGGCCCACTACTATATATTCTTTACACTAACACTGTACCTGAAGTTGTTGATGTATGCATGGTCCAGTGTGCCGATGACTGTTCTGTTGTTTTGAGTTCAACCGATCACAACTACCTACAGGCAAATATCTTTTTCAAGCTAAAGATTCTGGGGGAGTACTTTACATCAGACAATCTTAAACTGAACATTAACAAGACACAAATCATATCTTTTACCCAAAACGGTTCAAATAATCAGTGACCCAACTTTTCTTTCTTGGAAATTGAAAACTTTGCTTCTTTCCAAAGCTTAGTATTCACTGGAAGAATCTTCAATGATAATTCAAACTGATGTTGTTCGCGTTAAATATTTCATGTCATATCATTCTGCATTGTGATGTAGTTTAGTCTCTTTTGAACCCTACATATAGATGTATATGTTCGTGTTCTGTATCTACTATAATAATATTACATTAAGTATATTGACTGTGATAACCTTGTTATTCATACATCTTTGGCCATTTATATTCTTATATTCTTAACCTATATTAAGGATACTGCCTCATAATATTCTACTATTTCTATAATGTTTACTGTAATTGACATGTTCTACACCTGAAAAAGTGTTTTATTACAAAGAACTAACTATCAAACGTTGCAGTTTCGAACTGAAAAGTTCAGCTACAAAGTTAAAATGTGATATAAACCACTGAAGTAACTTGTCGTAATCACTAATTCTATGTACAAATAAAATAAATTATTGATACAAATTGTATTACCACTTTTCATGAGCACCTTAGATGAAAACGTAGATGCATCTTTTTTATAACAGACACCAAAAGAATGAAATGTCGAGATATCATATTCGATAATCCACAAGAATCCACATGCAGGATATTTTCCGAGAATTCAATTTAAGTTCATATTTTCATTTTCAACCTCTCAACTTAGCTATGGTATCCGGGTACGATCAATTTCCACAGAGCTATCTGAAATACGCTTGTTACATATTGAACGAATATATGCAGATTCTTTGAGGGTCACCATTTTGTTGTGTAGTTTTTAAGCATCAATTTTTGTTTTGTTTCTGTCTTCTCAGAACAGATCTCAATTCATTATTAGTTCTGAAAGTTGTTCTCATATCATATCTGGGAACGTGATGTATATCCCTAGTTGTCCGAAAGATTTCAGAAAGAATAAGTTATGCAATGAGAAGAGAGAATACAGTTCCATAGTCACAATAAAGCAATCGCATTCAGAAATCTTTTACTCATTTTTACACCAGTAACAGAACTCACATCCAAAAATACCTAAAAAGCTATTTGAAGAGAAACAAAATCGTTTTTTCTTGTAAATCAATAATTTCTGGAAAAAAACAGATATCGAAAGCCATTTTCAGTAAGGTATCACTAGACCCCCATTCCCACCAGAAAAATTGGGGATGACATCACCGATAAGATGATTGAAACCTAATAAATTGTGAGAAATTAATGAATTAAAACTGCCTTAAACAAATTTATTTCCAACAATATTTCACTAATCACGTACTAATTTATTCACTACAACACTTAGCAACTAACGCTTAATTTATTTCCACTATTTAAATTTCTTGTTTAGCCGCTCGTTTCACTTTCTGAATTGCCCTCTTGAGTCGGGAAGACAGGCTTATATCGGTAAAGGTCCTTTCGAGAATTCTGTAGTCGGTTCGGTCCTAGAATTTTACCGGCTATTCCCGACTGCATTCTTTCGCGGTGATGTCATGTGTTTGTTCGCTGAATCGGCCGGCATATCGGTCAGGGGCAGCTTCAGATTCATTACATTGCCCCCTTCTTAAAGACGTTTCGCTCCGAAATGTCATCCTTGGCTTGTGTCGATACCTACAAGACTCCCTATATCTGCACTGTGAAATTCGATGGAAGTAACACTCCACAGTCTTCATGCTCGGTCGCACACCAAAATCTTGATGCAGCTGGATCTGAATATCGTTTCCAACATGCTTCTCACAATTCTCCAATCCAGCCTTTCAAGCCCAGAGGCTAATTTCGGGATTGCCAAGTCCACAAGATTCTGGTCAAGCATCGTGTCCCTCAGTCTGGTAGGACTCTTCTAGACATCTTCATAGGACGGTTTGTCTCGAGAATACTTTTTGGTCACCAAGTCGAAAATGTTTCTCTAACCCTTCTTCAACTATAGCACTCCTCCGACCTCTAGATTCTGTTCTCGTAATGTTTGGACCTAACCGAATTTCTTGTTGAGTACCACAGCGATACCCCTGGACTTTGGAGATCCTCTGCTTATATCGGTAACGGTCCTTTCTAGAAATCTGTAGTCGGTTCGGTCGTAGAATTTTATCGGCGATTCCCGACTGCATTCTTTTGCGGTGATGTCATGTGTTTGTTCTCTGAGTCGGCCGGCATATCAGTCAGGGGCGGCTTCAGATTCGTTATAAAATAATTAACCAAGAAGATAAGGGTAGCTTTAAATATGGAATGCATTTTTTTTTAGAATACAAATTGGTAATGAGGTTGTTTCCTGAAAAATATGTTCTTGATAATTTAGAAACAATGGTGATTGAAAGTAGTAGTTGTAAAGTATATGCAGTATTGGAAAAAATATTCACTTCCACTTTTTTACTTTTTTGGGGTGAATTAAGAATATCTAAATTTCTTTCAGCTCTTTACGAAGAAAGTGATGAAAATGGTTTAGAATTAGAAAGTCACGGCTCTGTGATTAGGCACTTATTATCTCAAGTGAAAATAGGCATGGATTTGACCAAAGTAGTACTGCCGACTTTCATTTTAGAAAGGAGATCGTTATTGGAAATGTACGCGGATTATTTCGCACATCCAGACATGTTTTTGAAGTAAGTATTTAGACATTTTCTTTCTAGAATAAATTGGAAAGAATGAAAATCTGTCTCATATTTAAATAATTGTCTTTATTACGAATAATGTCCATAGTACGTTACCTCCAATCATTTTTGCTTCTTCAAAATTGCTTGTCACAAAAATATTATTATTTCAATAATTCACAATAAAATTCGTATTCTACACTTTATATTCTAGGTTAACGGTTTAAATACAATTATTCAACCTCATTTTGATTTCTGTGGAAGTATAGTATATTCCTTTGATGCTAACAAAATTTCAAGTCTACAGAAATTGCAGAATTGAGGAATGCATATAATCTTAAGGTATAAACTGATATACAAATATTATTTTCATGTTGGACTCATTAAAATGGTTATCAGTGTCACAGAGATTCATTCATTTGTTTTAAGTAAAACATAGTTTTTCAAGAAACACCCATAATAACCAATAATTTTCTATTTCTATTTTATCAATAAATGTTTGTAGAATAGCCGACATCAAAGATCCCAGAGATAGAATGGTTCAAGTAGTTCGATGGTATCTTTCATCCTACCATGCTGGTAGAAAAAGTTCAGTAGCAAAAAAACCATACAATCCTGTACTAGGTGAAATATTTCGCTGCCACTGGGATGTGCCAAATGCCGATATTGGTACCAACGATACCCTAGCCGAGGACGGACCGGTACCTTGGTGCAAAAAGAGTCAGTTAGTATTTGTTGCCGAGCAAGTTTCACACCATCCTCCAAGTAAGTACAGTACTGAAGTTTGATGAGATGATTCTTAACCAACTTAATATTAAACACCAACCTATTATATATACTCTTAAAATGAGTGAGTAAAATCCACAAACACCAATGAAAATATTTCAGGAAAGTGTGCAAATGCTTGTATAGTTTGAAATCTTCTCCATCAAGTGCATAAAACCAACTTAGAATGCATTCAAAATAAGTTTCTAAGTTGCATTGCTTTTAGAATGTGTTTTCTTTATTAAAAATATAACAACAGGGTACAGTTCAACACAGTCAAGACCCTATAAATATAAAATATGTTGTTATTCTTTCTAATCAGCAAAAATGCTGGTCTCGGGATTCACAAACATTCAACATGACAAGTAAAACACTAAAACTACAAAACCACTATAAAGCTGCTATTAGTAACGTATCAGACATGTGCCTCGAAGCTCAGATGTTCTATTACATTATTGATGAATGAACTATAGCCCGGCAACTCACAGATATGGACAGGTAATTCATTAAAGACTTTTACAGCCTGTGTAACAGGGATTGTATGATCCTTTGTTCATTCTTACCATGCTCTGATGACAGTCATTTCTACCCCTTGTAAACATAATAATCATAAAGCTGGTTGTTGACTAGTAGATCGTTGTTGCTTTTGAGTCTTTTGTTTTTTATTTTATATATGTTCATGCATTGCTCAAGTTTAAGTAGATATTTAATTGGATGTAGTTCAGTCTGTGAGAATAGATCATTTGTGTGGATTCCAAATGGAATTTGAAATAAAATCTCATTGATTTATTTTGTAGCGTTTGAATTTTTTTGAAATTAGAAATGCCACAAAGACCCCATATGATTAACAGATACCTAAGATTCGCCAATATATATGCATTGTAAACCAAGTATCTATTACTGAAACTTAAGTAACTGGAACACCTATATAGAACTCCTAACATTGGTACAATTTTATCATTAATATGTTCTATGTAACCTAACCAGTTCAACTTATCTATTGTGAGTCCCAAATACTTGGTTTTTGCAACATTCATTAAGGGTAAATTATTTATTCTCAATTCAATATTTCCACAAATTCTATTTTTTTGTTTAAATAGCATGTAAATGGTTTTTTCAGAGTTCATCTTGAGTTTATTATGAGGAAGACAATTTGAGTATTTAGAGAGATATTCATTAACTGTGTTCTCCAATAAATGTAAATCATATCCACTGTACAAAAGGACAGTGTCATCTGCGAACGTGAAATACCTTTCCGTAAGGCCGGCCTGCCTCAGTGACAGTACCATCAGTGTATACAACAGGGGTCCCAGAACGGATCCATGTGGTATGCCATAATTACACAACACAACAAAGTTTTTGTTTCGGGGTTGAAATTAGATGATTTTAATGTATTTCCACGTGTTAAAACCGAAAGTGACCATAAAAATTATATATTAGCTCTTGTTTTCAAGATATAGTATCATTATATTATATATATGTATATTGAGTTTTCAACAAATGAAATATTTCATCACCAACAGTTGGTACACATTTTTGTTTACATAACACCCCTCTCATCAGCTGTTCTTAAGTAGTAAACATAACCTATGTGAGTTTGTCAATTGTACGCACGTGGTTGCTATTGAAATTATCGTGTGAAGTTGATTTTTAAATTAATTTAAGTGCTGATCTGAAATGCCTCGAAAGTGTGTGAATTCTGTCGATAGCTTTTGCTACATATGTGGTGAAATAACATTTAAGGCTCAGAAACGTAAAATGACACCTATCGTTAAGACAGCCTATGAACATTATTTTGGTGTGAAAGTTGGGGATCAAGATAAATCATGGGCTCCTCATATATGTTGTAATTCTTGTTCCGTCATATTGCGAGAGTGGCTGAAAAATAAAAACCGGGCAATGGCTTTTGCAGTACCTATGGTTTGGCGTGAGCCTACCAATCATACAGACGACTGTTATTTCTGCTTAACTCCTCCCATTAAGCAAGGTTTATCTATGAAGAAAAGAGGAACGGTTAAATACCCTAATCTCCCATCTGCTCTTCGGCCTGTACCACACTCAGACAATTTGCCAGTCCCTTCTCCACCCCAAAACTATGAAATTTTAGAGGAAGGTGATGAAGACTGTTTAGAAGGAGCAACCCATCCTTCTACATCCTATGACCCTGATTTTGAGGTAAGCGATAGGTCTAGTGATCCGCACAGAATTAGTCAAGCAGAGTTGAGTGACCTTATAAAAGATCTTCGCTTGTCTAAGGAAAAGGCTGAGCTGTTAGGGTCAAGACTACAACAGTGGAATCTTCTAAAACATGATGTGAAAATATCTCAGTACAGACAGCGTCAAAAAGATTTGCTTCCTTTTTTTGAGAAAAAAGAAAACCTCGTAGTTTGTTCTGATGTTAATGGTTTGATGGACTGCTTGAATTTGGATCACACTCCATCTGAATGGAGACTGTTTATAGACTCTTCAAAACTAAGCTTAAAAGCTGTACTTCTGCATAATGGAAATCAGCTACCCTCTATTCCTATAGGTCATGCAGTTCACATGAAGGAAACGTATATAAATATGAAAACACTTCTCCAATCAATCAAATATGAACAACACGAGTGGCACATCTGTGGTGATCTGAAAGTCATTGCTATACTCCTAGGAATGCAATTAGGGTTCACCAAGTACTGTTGTTTTTTGTATCTGTGGGACAGTCGGGATAGAAAATCTCACTATAAAAAAATGAACTGGCCTACACGAGACCTAAACCCTAATGAGAAAAATGTAGTTTACGAGCCTCTTGTAGATCCTAAGGATGTTCTCCTTCCCCCATTACATATTAAGTTGGGACTAATGAAAAACTTTGTGAAGGCCATGGACCAGGAAGGACAAGCTTTTAAGTACTTGAGAGCAAAGTTTCCCAGGTTGAGTGATGCTAAAGTCAAGGAAGGCATCTTTATTGGGCCTCAAATCCGTGAAATCGTAAATGATCCTGCTTTTGACATGATTTTAACAGGAAATGAAAAAAGAGCCTGGGAAGCCTTTAAGGGGGTTGTACATGGGTTTTTAGGTAACAAAAGAGATGATAACTTCACAGCATTGGTTAAAGAGCTTCTTCAAGCTTACCACCAACTTGGATGCAACATGTCCTTAAAAATTCATTTTCTTCACTCTCATCTTAATTTCTTCCCACAAAACTGTGGAGCTGTGAGTGACGAACATGGAGAAAGATTCCATCAAGACATTGCCTTAATGGAACAGAGATATCAGGGCCGTTGGAATGAAGCAATGCTTGCAGACTACTGCTGGTCTGTGTGTAGGGATGCTCCAGAAGTGTTTTATAAAAGACAAGCTAAACGACAGCGATCTTACAATGAATCGGATGGACTTAATTGAAATTTGGTGGTACAAACTTCTTTTATTTGTCAAAACACTAAGAATAATGTTTTTTTTATTAATTTTGTACTTAAAATTTTCTAAAAGAAACATAACAATATTGTTTTATGTACTTTCACTTTTCACGTATAGTATAACTACTCTTTAAGATTAAGTACTGTGTATCTCAAAAACCAGAGCTAATAAAAATTTTTCATTGTTATTTTCGTTTTTATCACCCCAAAATTAGTAGAAATTGACTAATTTAGTGTAGGAAACACTCAAAAAATATTTTTTTGTTGTGTTGTGTTATTTTGTGGGAAAGAAAGTTTTTGGCTTTCTACTACTCCATCTTGATACAAAAAATGGATGCGGGAATCTTCCAAAGAATGGAAGGAAGTAATCAATTTGAAAATAAGGAACTCTATACATGGATGTGTAGATCATGCAAAGAAGTAACTTTCAGACACAAACTGAAAGGAAGTTCTCCTGAAACAGCTACTTTCATATGAACATTGAATTACACGAATTCTTTCGAAACAAATACTTCTATATGAACACTGAATTATACAGAAGATAATTTTCTCTACTCAGTTTGTATTTCAAACATTCATTGTGGAATAAAAATCAGATATCATTCACATGATATTATTTTGGTTTTCACCTAGGCTTGCGCCAGCAATGTTGAACCTCAGTGGCACATATTTTGAGAAAAATATGTTTTGCTAGGTTTGTAATAAAATTTCCAGAGCACAAATTATATCATTGGATTCGCACAATGATCACCTTATATTAGTGAAAAGCTGGATTCGAAAATCCTAATTAGTACCAGTTGTTTTTAACAAATTTATGTAACACTTTGACCTATGTATTTACACTTTCTTGTGTGTTGTTGTTATTGAATATTAAAAAAGGATCAATAACACTCGATTTGCAAAAGCAATATCATTATGAAAGTATAGAACCTCGAATATAGCAGAAACACGTGAAGCTTTATAGTTTTTGTTGTTGTTATTATTATTTCTTTGATTGACAACTTGTTCATTTTGTGGAAATTCATGTTGTGGACAAACACATATACGAATAATTTTTATCTAATAACATGAATAGTCTGACAGACTTATTCTAGTATAAGACTATTCACAAATCTTATCATACAAATTTGGAACATTTAAACTGAGAAATCAGTAAACATAGTTGTTAGGCAAGATACCAGATTCAAATGATTTGTTTATTATATTTCCTTCATAATTGGGCGTATCAAAATTTGATCATATTCGGGGGTTTTAGTCATACCCGAGTCAACAAAACCAGATTGTTGACCTGGTATATTATATATCTTGAAATAGATCTACAGTTATGTAGTTTCGCATATTTTTATTTGTTTTTTTTTTGTTTATTTTTAATTGTTGTATTATTTTTAGTGTTTTCTTTTATTCAATTTATATGTTACATTGTCCCTACTATAAACACTTAATGTTTTTGGGATTAATAAATTCATTTATTCATATTAAACAAGGATTTTTTCAGGAGTCAGTAATTAGGCCTATTTTGTTTCTTATATATTTTAATGACCTAGTAAATATGATGGCTGACAAAGACAGTCTGTCAGTTAGTCTAAACCTAACTGTATATAAAATCACTGTCCCTTTTTTCAGCTCTATTCAATCATATAATCCAATCACTCTCCTTAATTAAAATCTTTTACAGTTTCAGCGTTTTATGCGGAACACTATAACAGAAGGATATGTTTCAATGCTCATGTTTACACCAAGTCAAAATTCCTTGGTCTCTCTGTATGTGTCTACAACATAGGACAGGGTATCGTTAACGTTATTGATTATGATGAAGAGTACTTCCTCACTTTTCCCAATGGTTATGGTCGGTCAATATTAACCGTTCCTTGGATAGAACTAGGAGGCACAGTTACGATAGGATGTCCCAAGACAGGTTACAATTGTACAATAGAATTTATCACAAAACCTTTTTATGGCAATAAGAAGAATAGAATTACAGCGGAAGTTTTCGGGCCAGAAGAGAAGAAACCATTCCTTACTGTTAGTGGAGAATGGAATGGAGTGATGGAGTACAAGTGGACGGACAAAGTGAGTCGTTTCGGACAACAACAAAATTAGTCATAAATATTTTGGTTAAATTGCGAATCCTCACTTAAAGCCATGTATTCTGCTTCGTTGTTTACAGCTTTTCCATGATATAAACCCCTTTAAAAACTTGAATACATATCCTGTAAAAGATTTTCTGTCATCTTTACTTGATCCCCAGTCGGCATCAACATAGCCTTTTAAATCTAAGTTGTCTTTACTGAATATCAACGAAAAACCCTTCGTACCTTTTAAATATCTTAGAATACGTTTTGCACTTTGCCAGTGTTTCTTGGTATAACAATTATTATATTGGCTTAGTAGACTCACAGCATAAGCAATATCAGGGCGAGTCATAACAGCTAAATACATGAGATCTCCGATCATTTCTTGATAAGGTGTGTTTGAATCACATATTCGACCCTCGCCATTGCTCAAGTTGATACTACTATCCAATGGAGTACAAACAACCTTACTATCTAGCATACAGAATCGTTGCAATAACTGTTCTATGTACATTTCTTGGTCAATCTTAATACAATTAGAGTCTCGCCTAATTCTCAAACCTAAACATTGTTTAGCTTCACCAAGATTCTTAATCTTGAATTTTGAATTCAAATAATGAGATTCAAGGAATTTTGTTTCATTACTATTTCCTGAAAATATGAAAAAATCATCAACATACAGTACCAACTATTGTTAAAAAATTATCACTGCTACGTTTAATATATACACATGGTTCACATTTAGATTTAGCATAACCTATTTCCAACAAAACTTGGTCAACCTTTTCATTCCATGCTCGACTAGACTGTTTCAAACCGTATACAGCCTTTGGATTTTCTTTAGAAACAAAACCTTCAGGCTGCTGCATGAAAACATTTTCTTTGAGATCACCATTGAAAAAAGCTGTCTTAACATCTAAATGTATTATTATCTAACCTAACTGCTAACGCAACCAATAAACCCAATGTAGAATGCCTCACTACTGGAGCAAAGGTTTCTACATAATCTACACCTTCTCTTTGTGTATAACCTTTTGCCACCAGTCTAGCCATATGCGTTTCATTATCACCATCACTGTTGATTTTAAAAACCCATTTACTTGCTACCATTGCACTATTTTCCGGCAGATCAACGAGCTCCCAAGTATCGTTGTCGTTGAAAGATTGGATTTCTTCCATCATAGCCTTCTTCCATGCATGGGTGTATGGACTTTAGAAAGCTTCGGCAACTGTTTTGGGTAGATTGTTTGCAGATGCTGCTGTTCCACCCACATCGACTGCACCATTGAAGTACATAACATAATCATCATATGTTTTCTTCTTCGGTTCTTGTTTTGACCTCCTGGGAATGCTTGGAAAGTTTGAGTAATTGCCTGACATATCAGGAATATAATTACTGTCCAAATCATTTGACATATCAGTATAGAAGGAATAATCAAAGCTGGCATTAACTTGTTTAGCTTCTTCCCCCACTGCATCGGAATCTCCTTTCGGTTCTTTGTTTGCTTGACAAATCGTCTATGAATATTTCCATGGTTTGCTTTTCCATAATAGTCACATCTCGGCTTATGATGACTTTCCTCGTCACTGGATTGAAACATCTATATCCTTTGGTGGTTTCATCGTATCCTACAAGAATATGCTTCACTGATTTCTAGTCCCACTTACTCCTATTGTCTTTGGGGATATGGACCATGGCCGTACTTCCATATAGTCGAAGATGACTCATATCTGGTATTTGGACTTAGATGTTGAATATGAAATATGTGAAAAGTTCATTCCCCTTAATTGCTTTTTGACATTTCAATTGATATTCAAAAAAATGAAAATGTTAAAAAATTTAATTTTCAGGAGATTGAGGAGCAAGTAGATGTAAACACTTTACATATAATCAAGAAACAAGTGAAACCCATTAGTCAACAAGAGGAAAATGAATCACGTAGATTGTGGAAAGAAGTAACAGCAGGGCTGAAGTTTAATGAGATTGACAGAGCAACAAATGCTAAACAGACATTGGAGCAGAAGCAAAGAGATGAAGCAAAAGAAAGAAAAGAAAGCGGCAACGAGTGGCAAACGAGGGTAAGAAAACTATGTGTTTCAGTAAGAAAAATGTATTATGTTGTGTCTGAGTTTATAAATTACTTTCCGTAAAATTTTCTAAATAAAAAAAACTAGTGAGAATCCATCCTAACACTGTTTAATAATTCAAAATTTTAAAGATAACCTATAATCTGAAAAACAATTTGAAAGTGGATGAAAGTGTGATAAAAATAGATTGATTTGAGGAGGTATACTGTGTTCTTCATATTCGATGATATGATATAATGACTACTTGAGCTGAAGTTTTAAGCTTTCACGACTGGAAGTCAAATGGAAACTGTGCTCAAAAACGTTAATAAGACCCTATGTTGTGTAGTACTATGGATGGGGATTGGTAGGGAGAACTCTTTTGATCCTCGAGCCAATGAGAAGAGTACTTGCCACCACTTCTCAATAAATATTACTGACACGAGGCATAGGGTCTCATTAATAAGTCTAACAACTAGAATGTCGCAATGCATTGTTGTCAATCACCACTGAAAATCTCCATCGCAGTTGTGATCGAAACATTTGTAGTCAACCCATCCATCGTATCGCAGCTACCTAGCCCCGATTACCACTTGGCGGCAGTCGTTTGACTTGTCCATTTCGTCCATGTATTCAGAAAACAGTGCAGCTTTATGGACGTATTCCGTTTTTCCTCCCATCTTTTTATTGGCCATTTTTTACAATCTTGTTTCCTTACTACTTTGTACCGGTTCTATTGTTGGTCATCTTTTCCTGAAATAATTTGGGTTGTCCGTAAATTACTTGCCGCCATTAATTCAGGGTTTCACATTCACATGAAATATGCCTCTGTCTTATTACATTGTCTACACCTGAGGTCTATGTTATGCAGCTTCATTTTGATCAGGTGTCCTCCAATTAGGTAATGCCTGGTGAGTAACCCGGTAATTCTGAACTGATCTCTGCTTCATTACAGCAGTTCTTCACTATTCGTGTTATGCGTATTTTTCTTTCATTCAGTAAAATGTGTTGGTATAATAGTAATGTCCTCATATAGGACTTCCCTCTTGACTTCTCTTGAAACAAGTTGTAAAGAATAAAATGTTATTTTTTTAGGATACTGGTGATGGCCATTATTTATCACATTTGGTAAAATATATAAAGACTTCTTTGAAATTCTTAATTTTGTGTCAGCATTCAATATAACAAGAATTTTTTCAACTGCATTAAGGAAGAAAGAAAACTTTAATGATGGAGTAGAAAGCCAAATAGCTTTTTCCCTTTTCAATTTAAATGAATTGCATATGTTGATTTCATTAAAATGAATACATCTGATTATATCTGAAACTTGTTATAAGACTGAGAGATCTCATTGAAGTGTTCTTGCGTGTATTATACTTGTGAACATCATTGATAAATCTGTACTTGTATGGATTGAGAGGATTACTCTTACTTCAATTATACTGATTAATATAGAATATTTACCATATTTGTATTTGTGAATTAGATGGTTTGTGTACTATAGGTATTTAAAATATTCCAACTCAAAATAGTAATATTTATATTTCAAGCGCTTCAGAATATTGTCAAATTTTTGTCTCACAAGAAAAATTGCTTGATATCAATCGATAATTAGGACAAATGCATATGTACTAATCCTAATTTGACGATCACAACAACTTCTAAATTCGACAACGATTTTCCGATATCTTTAAACAATACCGTAAAATGACCACACCATAAAATTCACTAGCATACATGAAACCACCGTTCAATATCATGAATCAATATTGATTTCATGGAACATAAAATATCTGTAGAATATTAGGAAGTGTCTAACTTCCCGGACACTGGTAAATATATAACACGCTCGATATAATACTTTCATCAGCGAGTGATTCATCCAGACTTGTTGCCTAGGACATGAATAATTTTAAGGAAAGAAAGTTTTTGGCTTTCTACTACTCCATCTTAATCTTTTTTTTTGTATCAAGAAAGAAAGTTTTTGGCTTTCTACTACTCCATCTTAATCTTTTTTTTTTGTATCAAGATGGAGTAGTAGAAAGCCGAAAACTTTCTTTCCCAAAAATTAATCACTTCTAAAAAATATAACCCCCCAATTCAAATAATTTTTAATTTTATCAACTTGTCAGTTTGAATCCTGAAATTATTGTTAAATGGAATTCGACATGAATATCCTCATGATTTTTCTGCTGTCAACTGCTGTCAAATAATTGTGTAAATAGTTATTTTGTTTGAGGGAAGTAAATTCACAGGTTTCAGATGTTGAAGTAGAGAGAATATCTCAAGTAAACTCTTGAATGAATGTATTAATTTTAGACAACTCAATTCATACTTTTTATTATGTCAAAATTAATGTCTTAACTACCTATAAACATAAACAATGTGAACAAAAAAAAATTAAAGTATGAAAATGGTGGTTTTTCATAATTTGTTAATCCCATTGTTTGTCGTAAAATATTCAATCTTGGCTTTAACAGCGGTTTGGTAAGCGCATCTGCTACTTGGTGTTCTGATGCTGTTTTTTGAATTGAAATAGCTCCATTTGAGACCAGTTTCCTTACGAAGAAATGTCTTATATGAATATATTTGGTACGTCTGTGATATTCCGGATTTTGGGCCAAGAGTATTGCAGCTTCGTTATCGACCATCAATACCATATCCAAAAATTCTGCATATAACTGTTTCAACCAAACCAGTTCACGGGAAGCTTCACTTGCAGCTACTATATCAGCTTCCGTTAAGGAAATAGCTACTGACGTTTGTCGTTGACTGAGGCAAGATATCGCACCGCCAGCATACATACAAATAACACCTGTTGTTGATCGTCCTGTTGTTTCATCTCCGCCACGGTCAGGCCATCCACACTGGTTGTTTTGTACATTATACCGTAATCTGTTGTTCCTTTGGAGTATCGAAGTATTTGTTTTATTTGGATACAATTATGATTGCTGGGATTTTCTAACGACCTGGAAACAACACTGATTGCATAAGCAATGTCTGGTCTTGTACCTGTCATTAGATACATAAGAGCCCCAACCGCCTCTCTGTATGGAAAAGTTGTATTCAAATCCATTTCGAATTCATTCTCTGATTGAATACAATTTTTTACAATTGGTGTTGGAACGGGTTTACAATCTTGCATGCCATATTGCTTGCTAATATTTTTCTTGTATAAGCTGCTTGATTTAATTGAATAGAACCATCGTTTCTAGTTTTGATTTCTAGTCCTAGGAAATAGGAAGCAGGTTTCAGTGTCATTTTGAAATCATTCTGCAAGCTTTGCAAGAAATTATTCTTCAATGTATCATTAGTTGTTGCAAGCAACCCATCATCAATGTATATGACCAAGATTATCATATCATTTCCATATTTCTTCATTTATAAACATGGATCTGCATGGATGCTGGAAATCAAGTTTCTTCACAACATCATGGATCGCTTATTCCAACATCTTGGTGCTTGCTTGATATAAAACATATAAACTTTTCTGAAGCCGACATACTCGATTAGTACCATCCTCATATCCTTCAGGTTGCTTCATATAAACTTCTTCGTCAAGCGCTCGCCATAGAGAAATGCAGAAGTAATATCAAACTGGGTGAGAGTAATTTTTCTACTAGCAGCAATACTCAGAACAGCTCTTATCGTATTACCTTTTGGCTACAGGGCTGAAGGTTTCATTGTAGTTTTCACCCTTCCATTGTGAATAACATTCGATAACCAATCTGGCCTTGAATTTATTTACAGAACCATCAGCATTCAGCTTCATTTTGTAAACCCATTTACGTGGAATTGCTTTCCTACTAGGTGGCAGTTCTTCCGTAATCCAAGTTCGATTTTCATTTATGGCTTCAATTTCATTTTCCATTGCTCGAATCCAATGTTCTTTCTCAGGGCAGGGGATGAACTCTTTGTAAGTGAGTGGCTCTTGAGATTCGGTTATTTCACTAGCAACAATAATGGCATAATCATCGAAATGTAGTGGCTTTCTGATTTCATGTGTATGTCTCAGCTGCCTTTTTATTACAATGTCCTCATCTTCCAGAAATGGATCTTCTACCTCTTCAGTTTGAGAGCCGGAGATACCCGGTGTATTTTTAGCATCTGTGTCTACTGGTATGTATTCTTCTAACGTCTCATTTTTATCAGTAGAAGGTACTCTTGCCATAACAGAATTTCATGGTTTATCTTCGTAAAAAATTACATCACGAGATCGTATTAGCCTCTTAGTTTCTTCACACCAGATACGATATCAATCATCATTCTCATATCCAATGAGTACTCCTTTTATAGCCTTTCTATCCATTTTCTTTTGACATCTTTTTGGTATGTGTGCATGGCAATAACTGCCTATTACTCTGAGATGCCTCAAATTTGGCTTTTTTTTAAACGATATTTTGAAGGGAGATTTGTTTTTAATACCAGATGTACCGGATCTGTTTAAAATATAAAACCACCATTTTCATAACTTGGTATTTTTTTTTGTTCACATTGTATAAGTTTATAGGTAGTTAAGAAATTAATTTTTACATAATGAAATGTGTGGGTTGAGTTGACTAAAGTCAAATACATTCATTCAAGAGTTTACTTGAGATATTTCCTCTACTTCAACATCAGAATCCAAATGTAGATTATAAAACCTATCGATAATTGATAGTCTTCATCTGACAACAGTCTCGCAGATTTGAGTCGGTATTTTTTTCGTCGTTTCAATTTATATTTATTCGAATCTTCAATACCTAACCTCTCATTGGAAACGTTCACAACGGTTACAAAATAAAATCATATAACCTGAATCAGAGAGAAAAGACCAGTAATCTGTATATACCTAGAAAATTATTTGATATTAGAATGTATTTTGAAATCGATTGACAATTTTGTAGTTTTACATATTTCTTAGTTGTATTATTCTCAGTATCCTCTTTATTTTTCAATATGTATGTTACATTGTCCCTACTATAAACATGTAATGTTTCTTGGCAATAATGAATTCATTATTATTTATTATTATTAGATAAACAACTACTTTTTCTCTTATAGCTTTTCACAAAAATGAACGAAGATGTCTATCTCTACAAAAAGCCATTGCATCAACGGTTGTACAGCACGGCATCAAACACCTGAAATTATGAGTCACCATGTATTTGTTACGAATAACACTGTGCTTTTCTCAACTCTCCTGGAGATCGTTTCGCCTGAGTTATTTATTAGTAAACTGTGATATATCAATTTGAGAGATGTATTTTCCAGGATTATGCTGATATCGGGCTTCTGAAAAGTATTCGAGTCATACCGACACCTGCATTTCTTACTTGGGAAGAAGTAGTAATTATTAATAGATATTTTATTTTGATTCAGGGCAAATATTCAATTGAAAAAATTATTTCTCCAAACACAATATTTCTCATATAAAAGTATATAAAACTACATATTTCAGTACATTCATGAAGTTTTGAATTATATTCAGCTTGAAATACTCACTTTGTTAGCATATGATACCGATGTAATATTAATAATTTGGCTCAAGCGTTTATTTTTCAGTTGTCCGAGGATGTATAATCTTTCATTGGGAAACTTTATTGTAACTAATGGACTCTGCAATTTCCCCAATGATGTAAATAGTTTTTGGTATACAGTGCGGGATAGCATTTATGTTCATAATGTATTTTAATGGTGGATTAAGTTTTAATGATTATAATAAATATTATTTTAGCTTTTGTATAAGTGGTGTATGTGCAAAGTTTTGATGTTTCACAGGCATTTACAGTTCAAAATTGAAATTTTTCCACTTTCAATATTTTCTCTCACCAGTTATTTTGTCAAATCACTCAAATTTCTTAAGATTCCAAAATTATTTCATATTATATTGTGTCAAGTATAAAATGAAAAGTCGAATTGAAAGTACTCATTTTAACAAAGTTATAGATAAATTCTTTTGATTGATTTTCAAGTTTAGTTTTCTGAAATTCATAAAAGTTCCAGAACAAAACTATTCCTTGCAGGACACCCTAAGTGAAGTAATGTATTGAAATATTTGAAACCTTCCATATGCACCAGTTTCCTTATAATTAATAAATCCGCATTTTTTCTGTAAAATATTTTATATGTGACTTGCCTGAAGATTGGTGACACTTAGTACAATCGAGATTTGTAATGTAATTTACTTCCATAGTTTAATGATGAATCCTTTAATTAAACAATGAAAAACATCAATTTCTTTGAATAATTTCATTAGTTTCATTTCAGATATTCATCAGTATTTTATGGTGTTATTTCAATTCATTCTACTTCAGCAGTCAATCATTTTCTGCTATAATCTTGAATTATATGGAGAGGGATCTTAACTTAAAAAACAAATTGAAAATTTAAGATTTCATTTTAATGGAACTCACACATAATTAAAATACTCTTCATCATCATCATTTGATCTTAATTTTTTCAGTAATGCAGGAAGCATGACGTAGTCATTCGTTTCCCAGTCTTTTTCATCTTGTGGTGGATGTGAAACTTTTTCGGACAAAGTCGTTTTTATAGGTTTACCATTTCTGTCAACTGAAAAGTAATCCTTGATGTCTTGCGGGATTATCAACGAAGGTCGGGCATTTTGTAGGAAAGACAAATCTTCTGGGTATTCTGAAGATTTGGTGAATTTGAAGTTCTGTAAAAAATATAATTTCACTGACAGTGATTGTAGTCCATTCAAATAACATTCATTCAAATAACAATTAACATTTATTCCTAAAATATAGAAAGAGGTTATAATGTACATTTGAAAAATCTTCAATAACCATTTATCCACTCATAATATTTTTGAGACCTCTATCAACCTGAAGGAAAGGGAAAAGTTCAAATTTCAAGTATGTGCAAGTCAATTCTGTGATGCCATGGCCGTTATCGGACTGTTAACCAGCTGTCACTCTTTACGAACTACTACCCTCAGAAGTTGAAACTTGTGCGAGCTAAGGATTAATAATAATAATAATAATTTTATTGCAATACGATCTACAAGTGGACACAGCAAAAGTCAAACTTTTGAGAAGTTAATTCTCATTTACCCTGGAATTACCAATTTTAAAATTAACAGATATTAATGTATCATCATAGACAAATTACAGTTGAAAATTATATAAATTAAAGAGTTTTTCAAAAATATTCATGATAAACAATATTTACATAGCTATTTTCATTAATGATTTTCATAACAAATTACAAATTAGCCAGCAGTTATGACTGAACTTCTAAACTTCTTGAAGACTGTAATATTTTTAAGTTCCTTCGGTAGAGAACTATATGCTTTTTTTGCCTGATAGTAAGCTCCTTTCTCATAATATGTTGAGTTATGGCTGGGAATAGCTAGTTCGTTACATTGTCTGGTGTTAATATGCATATCATTCGAATATTGACCACTATTTCTGGAAGACAGGTATGGATATTTTTTTACGAAACAGACAAGACCCAAGAAGTACAACGGGGGCACTGTCAAAATATCAAGTTTACAGAAGAACTCTTCACAAGAGCTTCTTTGATCTAGATTTAGAATACATCTCAGGATTCTTTTTTGAGTAATAAATATTTTTTGTGAGTATACTGAAGAACCCCAAAATATAATACCATATGAAATCATTGACTGCGCTGGTGGTGCTTTTGTAATATTAGCAATAAGGCCGCATACTATATTTGTAAACCATTATTTCTCTAATGAAACTTCACATAAACCTCAAAATACGCAGAGGCAAATTTATTCAATATTCATTAATCACAAAACTCATTATTATATCTTAAGACTAGAACGCACTTGTGTGTTTATTGCTAAATCAATTAAATTTTCTGGGTGGAGGGCCAATTAATTCACTGCAATGTGGATGAAATATTCAAAAATTCATTATATGATATAAACATGAATTAAACTCAATGAATAAGCATACATATTATCAAGACCCCAAGCTCAGGTTCAACATTGGTGACATGAATGGTTTGTAACAATTCCAACACCAACTGTACAAGATATTCCATTTAATCAAATATGGTTAGAAAATATTAATATGACATTTTATTTTTTGAGTGAAGAATTCAAGAATTTCCAAGCATACTACTAGGTATTCACTCAGAAGTGAAACTTACTGCACAAATGTTTCATATTCTTCATTTTGCCAGGTAAGTCATTGAATTTTTTTGTTATTACCGGGTACACTGTGGATTAGGATTTTTTATATTTCTTCTGAAAATATATTTTACAGGTCTTGCTTGTTGAATAAAGATAGGTTGTTAGAACTATTTGTTGGGATATTCCATGAGACAAGCCATATTTCAGGAGAAAAATGCCAGGTAACATATGTCTATGTGTGTATTATATGAGCCAAGTGATTGATTATATTATAAAATAAAGCTTTTTGGAAGTTACAGTCAAGGTTTGAGTGCTACATTTTTTCCTGTTAATAAGCCTCCTTTTCTGATATTTACTATTTTCTTTGGCACATTCTAAATCTATAAATTACCATGATTCTTATCTAAAACCAAGGTATTTACTAACGAGGGCTCAAATGATAAAATCGGTATATCTGAATAACAAATATAAGATATTTTGATTGAAGTAAATGACACTGACAATGAATTTAAGGAAAAAAAAATATTGGAGAGTGATATAAATGCACAAAAAAAGACAAATCATTAATGAATGTTTAAAGATAGTTGGCAATCCTCTTCAGATCCATTGAAATCAGCATTTCACAACTATTTTACTTTCTAATGAAACTATGTCACCTGAGTTCAACTAAGTTCAAAATTGTTTAGCGGAAGATGCACAATGTGTGTGGGAAAAAAAATTATTATCCGTCCTGTTTCAGAGGTACCTACCACTATCTAGTATGCTGTCTCAGAAAAAAAAACACTTAATAATACACCAAATTTCTAAATAATTTCGTTTCAATGCAAATAACAGTGCCTCCAAGTTTTACAAGTTTCAATAATTTTGTTCTCACAAGATATCAAACTTTTCAATTTTGAGAGCTTTACTTGCAATTGTCCAAAAGAGTCATTATGAAATTCATATATTGCAGGATTGAAAGAAAGTTGTCCTAATAAATTCAAAGAAATTGAACGCTATGCCATTATTGAAGATACAATAAATAGTTCTGTTCGGGATAATGAAAGCTTCGCCTGATAGTTATTGTATTGTCAATTATAAAAATTCGAATTTCACAAATATTTGAACTATATAGGACTGAATGAAATATGTGTGGCATCCAAATTTGATCATATTATTGGCATAAATCGGATATATCGGAAACACTTTACCTTTACACCAAATCTAGAGCACTTTCTCTACGCCTGTGTCGCTAAGTTAGGATAGTTAGGAGATGACTAAACTCATTTATGTCAATTACCCTCTACAGAAAGTGTTCTAATTTTCTATGTACATGAAGTATTTTTATTAGATTATCATTATTATTTCTTATTATATAACTTCAGTTATCACAGCTTTTCAAGCATAAAAAGGGTGTTTTCGAACAGTGCTTAAATGCTGTACAATCAAATTCAAAATTTCTCATATGATTCTACAAGCACTTCCTCACAAACTTTTTTCCAATTGTATCAAAAATCCTTTGATTGAACACGTACTGAAGCCACATGGAACCCGATACGATCCGGCCTAAAATATCGTACAGATCGTACGGAATTTCTTGGTCGAATTTTTACCGATTTAGATTTCTTGTTGGTTTTAGTGGATTTTATATATTCCTTTGTTTTGTTTTATGTATGTAACTTGTATTTGATTCCACAAAATAAAGTAAATTCAATAATATTTTGATTGATAATCTCGCTTATTATATAGACATATTTATATCTCTAAAAGTCTAAAATCATATCCTGTTGATGTAAAAAGTTTGGCCGTATTTTGAGAGACAATTTGTGAGGAAGTCGAAATTTCTTGCTGCTTGTCTGGGTTCTAAACTTTCCGTAAACTGAAAAGAATCGAAGTGTAATGAAGGGCAAACTGGTAAGTTCACCCTCAAAATTCACTGTTTTTTTTCAAGGACAAAACAGAAGCACTACAGGAAAATCCTTAAGGCGTTCTCCGAGCGTTGCCTGTGCGAAAGTAACGATTCACATGGGATTTGAATCGCTGAAGATTAAATCCGTCTGGAAAAACGTTCTCAGGAAGTTTATTCCACATAAACGCAGTTCTCCAGATGAAAAGTTCTTAAACAGTGAAGTTCGAGGTATACTGAGTTGAACCTCAAAACGATGAGTAGCCACAGTCCGTAATGTATTTCTGATATGTACCACTCTTGGTGGAATCAAATGTGCCCAGTCACTTGAACCTTCCGTGAAAGTATCTATAGAAGAGAGAACAAATCTCCAACCTTTCTTCGATGTTCCAGGCTATCAAGGTTGCATGTGATGTTTGCATCTCCAATCAGACGGATGGCTCTTTTTTGGATGGAATTCAGCAACTTCAGGGTATGTTTGGGGGCAGAGCTCCATACATGAGAACAATACTCCAAAGAAGGTCTGATCTGAGCTTTATGAAACATCAAAAGTTGCTGAGGTGTGTTTAGTTTTCTGGTTCGGAACACTTCCAAGCTTTTGAGAAGCAGCCTTTGCAATTCCAATGACATGATTGTGCCAAGACATATTGGTGTTCATTTCAACTCCCAACAAACTTATCGAAGCTGAAAGCGGAGTTGTAACATAAACCACTGAAGAGTCCATGCAACACGTGCTTCGCTTAATAATAGCTTTCTCATACCCAGTAAGAGTGTGATTGGGTGGGAAACTGTTGAAAATTGAGGCTTTATTTTTTCTACCCAGCCAGCGCAACCTCAGGGCATTATTATTATTATTAAGACTACTGATGATGACAATTTGAGGTATCTAGAGACATCATTTTTGTTTTGGTGAGAGAAAAGTATTTTCAATAGATGCATTTTACGCCAGGTTTCAAATTCTGCTCATTTAATCCACTAACAATTTACTGTAAGATTTTTACTATGAGGGTTTTACAAAAATCGGGACATGTGTTTCGCTATACAATAGCTTTCTCAAACAAGAATGTTGGATAACTCATTATTTCTAACAATTTTATACTCTCCTTCAATCAGATAATTGGTTCAACTACTAAAAAAGACCGAATAGTATCTATAATTCACTGAGTTCTAGTACTAGAACTAGGTTAGGTTAGGTCAAAAGTTAGTGAGCCTATTCGTCCCTCCGGCGCAACCCGCAAGAGTTTATTGTGGCTCACACCTATTCAAACTCGACCGAATATACCCAGCTTTTTGACGAGGCTGATTAGTGATCTTTCAGGTCATTTAGTATTACGTTTACCCGTAGGTTTATTAATTTCCAGATATAACGTAGTTACTTTTTGTTTTGGTTTAAGTACGGTCGGTTTAGTTACCAACTCGAAACATTCAACAGGGCCGTGGATCAAAGATGTTATTACCAATAAAATAAAAGATTTCTAATCAAAATGGGCGCCAAGTGATTTGGCCGGCTTTTATTACAAAAATCACTAAACTATACAAGAGATAACTACAATATTCAATCCTAAACTAATACCCAGGGTGTGACCTAATATATATATGTGGATATGATAAATCACGATAAAAAAAANGAAATAATGAATTCATTATTATTTATTATTATTAGATAAACAACTACTTTTTCTCTTATAGCTTTTCACAAAAATGAACGAAGATGTCTATCTCTACAAAAAGCCATTGCATCAACGGTTGTACAGCACGGCATCAAACACCTGAAATTATGAGTCACCATGTATTTGTTACGAATAACACTGTGCTTTTCTCAACTCTCCTGGAGATCGTTTCGCCTGAGTTATTTATTAGTAAACTGTGATATATCAATTTGAGAGATGTATTTTCCAGGATTATGCTGATATCGGGCTTCTGAAAAGTATTCGAGTCATACCGACACCTGCATTTCTTACTTGGGAAGAAGTAGTAATTATTAATAGATATTTTATTTTGATTCAGGGCAAATACTTCTTGAGGAATTATTTTATTCTTTTTTTTACGATACAGTTGTTGAACAAAAACATTTTTCAAACCATCGTTTAATATTTGGTTTCAGTCAAAAGATAATTTCATTTGATTCATCATTACTTCAGGTTATTTTCATTGGGCAAATGGAATTTTGACTAAAATAGATGAGTTTAAAGCTAAAACATTTCTATTTACTTCCTCCCAGTAGATGAACATGGATTGTTAAAATATGTTTTTTCAATTATTTGCTGCATATTAAATTGTAAAGGAAAAAGTATCTTTCGATAACAACATATTATAAATAAAGTGTTTTTCAAGACTTGAATTATAAGTACAATTTATGTAAATGTATTGCATAACTATTGAGTGAATGGTGTAATAACGCTTGTGAGATAGTCAAAATATAATGCTTACTATAATCTAGTGATAGATTTAAAATTTCATTATCACTATCTCTTACTTGGTAACGAAGGATTTTAGGAAAAAAAGTTATATGAAGTACTGGTGATATTTTGACCCCATCTATACATTCCCGAGAGGAAAAGAGGAAGTCCAGGGACACCCTGTATACAGGCTACATGACCACGTAAGCAACTATAGCTACCTGCGTGACATCAGGGTTCAGGATATAAATACAAATAGAGATTTTATCGATTGTGCATGATACGAATCAAAAATGAAACAATTCGTGGACATTTTTGGAGTGTTATGTCCACGAATTGTTTTATTTTTGATTTGTATCATGCACACTCGATAAAATCTCTATCTGTATTTATATCCTGGACCCTGATGTCACGCAGGTAGCTATAGTTGCCTACGTGGTCATGTTAGATGTAGCCTGGGAATTCTAGGTCTTCTAACTGGAACCACGAATGTGCGGTTGGCTTCTGTTGTTGGCTCCGTGCGTATGTGTTGTTTCCTGCTTTCGGCAAACAAGTGTTGCCCATTCTTACTCTTGGCTGCACCGCGCTGATGAGGCCAATAGCCAGAAACACGTGTCCGCGGTTTGCCCCATTTTTTTGTTGTGTTATGTCCACGAATTGTTTCATTTTTGATTTGTATCACGGCTCATGTATTAGGGCTCCCTAAACTATTAAAAGTATATTACGAAGGGCTCCCTAAAAACTTTTCAAGTTAAAAAGGTCAACCGTCAAAATAGTTGTAATACTTTAGTAGGGACTGCTGATAATTACATTTTAAAATACCATTTTTGAATTATTAAAATATTATATATCCTTACCACATTTTTTGGAGAACAAATACTGATTGATGCAACTATTCTGTCATCCTTATGTAGGTAATGACAACTTTTTGGATTGTCCTTTAATACTGTCACTCCATTTACATCATGAAGGTAGGTTTTGAAATTCGAAGCCGTTATGTCTGGATTTCTTCGCAGTTTTAGATCTATTGGCCTTGAAGAAAGGTTATACAAGATATGTAAATAATGTTTACTAAACATTTTCAGTATATTGAAGAAGTATAAACATTGTTGAACTTTGAGAAGTCTACTAGAAATATCAACACTATTGTCCATAGTTTATTAGATTATAATGTTCCAGACTCTCAGTACTGGATTCTGTACTAACTCACTAGTAGTCTATTTTTTAGTTCAAAGACACTATAGTAAAATTTCATTTATGTAACGATATGTATATGATAGAAAGTCGCTTCCCAAAGGTACCTATGGAGTTTTGATGAATGTAATAAAAGTGGATCAAATGGTTTTGAAAACTGTCAAGTGGAAATTTCACAATAAAGTGTTTTTTTGAATACGTTACAATGGATTTTTATCAAGTATCGGTCACTTCTATCATAATGACTGATATTTTGGACATATTGATACTGAAATAGCATCACACAAGTTTAATGGTTTATTGATGTTATTGGATTCTTGTCTATACAGCAAAAAGTGTTCGCATTTTTGTAATATCATTATTATTTATCCCTAGTCATAGTTTTGCAAGTGTTCATCAATTGAATGTTTATTCAGTTAGAAATCAAAATATTGCCGTTTCAGTAATGCCATTACTAGTTTCTGTCGGAATCTTCCAGGATTGGCTTACTCCAGCGTTTATTCACCCTTCGAAGTTTGACACCAAACAGTTGTTTAACTACAGTAGGAATAAACTACGATGTCTAACAGGCCTTCTTACAGGTCACTGTCATTTGAATCATCATATGCCTCTGTTTGGAAAATGATGAAACAGCAGTGCACATAATTTGTGCCTGCCCCGCTCTTACCATCTGACCTGAAAGACCACTCACCATACAAACTAATCGGCTTCGTTAAGAAGCTGGGTTTATTTGGGGGAGTGTGAATAGGTGTGAGCCACAATAAACCCTTGCGGGTTGCGGTGGAGGATCGAATAGACCCGCTCACTTTGGACCTAACCCAACCTATCAATAAAAACATTTTTGAAAATTTCGGAGGTTTTCCTTTATAATACCGATAAAAAATTCTACTTACTTTCCTTCGTCTTTGAGCTCAGTATTTTTGTCTGACAATTTATTTGTATATGAACAAAATCAGCTAATGCAGTATACCATTAATAAAACAATATAATGAAATATCACAATTATTGGTCATATAATGTAAACAAAACAAATTTTTTTCCATAACAGCAGTGAATTTAGATTTGTTAAAACATTACAAAATATTAAAATTGGTGGAATATTTTTGAAATTACATAAATTACTTTTCATTCGTCCGATATGTAACTCTATTCTATACCTTTCTTTCAAACAGTCGCAGAGAACCACATTCTTTAATATTTGTATCCGAAGCATTGAAAGCCAACATTCCCAAATGATGAATAGATTTCTGGTGTCTCTCTTGGTTTTCTTATCATATGAAATGCAGTAATGTAAGTGTATTATATGTTGTTAAAGGTTTGATTTCCTCATTTTGTGTACAATAAATATTGATTCACCGTCAGAATTTATTTTCAATGTTATTGAACTCACGATTTTTTTATTTCTTCACAACTTCTTGTTTCTCAATAAAACTCTTACCTACACTTTAATTGGCCTAGACAAATTTTACTAAGAAGTTCGTTTGGCTCAACTTTCTCATTACTTCATATTTTTTTTGTTCTCCTGGTATGTCTTTTGTTTTCAATTTGCTTCTTATTGTCTGACTTTATTATTCTCATTTTATTGTTGGATTGTACTTTCAGTTAGTTCCACAACTCATATATTTATTAATGGGAATCACACTCATATCATCTATTCAAAAATGCTAGCAATGAAGAATATTGCTGAATATTAGACAATCCTTGAGTTTTCTTATATTCAATAGAGGTACTGAAGGGTGTTCAAATACAACTGAACATCAAAAGATATATGTAGTTATTGATCGTAATTATTATTTTTACCTTCTTCATGGGGTGCTTGGAGCCCAGAACCACTACTGTCTAACTCTGGTAACACTTTTGAAAACTGTGAGCATTTTTTGCTGGCATATTCAACTACTGACAATTTGGATTTGCAAATCTATAAACAACTGAAATTAATGTGGTTTCTAGATTCTCTGAATATCCTCACCTTATCGTCAGTACAAAGTCCAAATTCAATACTATTTCCAGTACATCCCTGATCGGTATTGATTGGTGTGGGATTGTTACAAAATCTACGCTTTGTAGTATGCCCCATCGATTTTTCTAAACAACCTGAATTACAAGCTCCATCTTTCCAGGGCCCCCAACCCCCAGGCACTGTCTTTACAGGTTTTGGCAGATCTTTTCTTAAACAATTTCCACCGTAGCAATACTGAAAAATTAACCTTTTTTATGTTTTGAATAGTTGAAAATTCAATATTCTATGTAAATAACTGCCAACCAACCTTCCCAACTCCACATTGTGTACCCTCTAAAGCTGGGCCAGCAAAATAGTATCCACTCCTGTGTGGTGTCTTACATTGTAGATTATAGCAAATAGTAGATAATTCTTGATTTGGCAAAATAATAGCATCTCTGTCTCTCAATAATATTTCACATTGTTTTTTGGCAGTGTATATTTGACCAGGAGTGTCCAAAAACTTTGAATGATCAGTTAATTTTGGAGATTTCGCAGAATCATGTAAACATTTTGCCCATCTGAAACAAACATTGAACAATATCACTGAATTATATCGCCTAGATTTGTAGACTTACCCTAAGTTTGACATAATTTTGGCGCTACATGTTGACCACTGAGTTTCTCCATTTGTTCCTCTTGATGGAGACATAATATACCCTTCTTTGGGGCAGCTGTTGCCGCTACTATCATGGTGCATACCAAGACTGGAAAATAACATTTTTTCAAAATTTGTATAGGCTAAAAAAAGAAATATGTACAAGAACAAAGAAATCTTCTGGACATGATCATATAAAATGTACCCCTGTTTTCTTGCTACTCCAGAAACACACCAATTTTATATAGTTTTGATGACTGGACATACGAATATATTGGTTCACACATTTTTACATATTTATATAGTAGATCTCGTAAATTAAGAATCGTTTTCAGTCGTTTGAGTATTCAAACCTTTTCTATGACACTTTATCTAGATTCATAGGCATTCCCTGACTAAGAAACATTTTAATACATGTAATGACAATTTTTATTAATGTGTTATCATACAAACTGAATAGTCCGATTCATCAATTATCGAAATGGCAACTCATTGTTATATCAAGAAATATAAATATTATACCAAATAAATACATACTTGTGACCAATTTCGTGGGCAAGAATATAAACGCTTGTGAATCCGGCACTCGGATATGGTTTTCCGAAAACGTTCGTAGTCCCAAATTCGGCAATAACGCAAGCATATCTATCCAGACAAACTCCTCCAACTGTAGCTAACCCCATTGTCACACCACTTCTCCGACCCTTTTCATAGGCAAAAAAATCCAAACTATGAATAACAACAAATTAAATTCCTTTAATGTATTGCATGAGATAGTTTACCCTGATACATAGAGTCCCATATCCCAGTGTTCTGGATTGGAGTCATCTGGTGGGTTCAATTTCTCTTGGTATTCACAAAAACTATCTAGTAATTTTCCTCTTTCTCCATTGTAATGAGGCATGTCAGTGGGTTGCCTTTTCATTATATCCAGTCTTACCAAAACTAACTCCAACGTATTGCCTAAACTAGGATGGTGGTACAAGGCTTGGACCTAGTAATAGATAATAAAAATAAAAACCTGTTCTAAGAAATATTCTGTAAATTTATTTGTCTTGCGTTCAAATAATAATGCTTTTTAACAATACCGCTAAACATTCTCAAAAATCATTGATGATTATCAGTATGGTTTTATCAAGGGTAGCAGCACTCTAAGCGCCACAATAGATTTCATTCATAATATTACATCGAAATTGGATAAAAAAAGAATGGTTATTGCAGTGTTCATTTAACGTTGTTGACCATGCTGTTCTTCTGAACAAACTATGTTGCAATGGTATAAAGGGCAAAACTCATTCTCTCGTTGAGACATTTTTAAAGGAAAGATCGTAATTTGTCGTTGTTGGCGAGAGCATGAGTGAGCATATAAAAAATAATTGACCACAGGGATCCGTTTTGGGACCCCTGTTGTATATACTGATGGTACCGTCACTGAGCCATGCCGGGCTTACGGGAAGGTATTTCACGTTCGCCGATGACTCGGTCCTTTTGTACAGTGGATATGATTTACATTTACTGGATAACACAGTTAATGAAGATCTCTCTGAATACTCAAATTGGCTTCCGCATAATAAACTTAAGGTGAACTCTGAAAAAACCGTTTAAATGCTATTTAAACAAAAAAATAGAATTTGTGGAAATATTGAATTAAGAATAAATATCTTACCCTTAATGAATGTTGCAAAAACCAAGTATTTGGGACGCGTAATAGATGATAAGGTAAACTGGTCAGGTCACATTGAACATATTAATGATAAAATTGTACCAATGTTAAGAGCTCTATATAGGTGTTTCAGTTAGTTAAGTTTCAGTAATAGACACTTGGTTTACAATGCATATATATTGGCGAATCTTAGGTATCTGTCAATCATATGGGGTAATTGTGGCATTACTAATTTCAAAAATTTCAAACGCTACAAAATAAATCAATGAAAATTTTATTTCAAATTCCATTTCGAACCAATACAAATGATCTATTCTCACAGACTGAACTACACCCAATTAAAGATCTATTTTAACTTGAGCAATGCAAGAACATATATAAAATAAAAAATGAGACTCAAAAGCAACAAGATCTACTAGTCAATAACCAGTTTTATGAGAATTATACAAGGGGTAGAAATGACTTGAACCTGAGCATGATAAGAACCAACAAAGGATTATACAATCCTTTTACGCAGGCTGTAAAAGTCTTCAATTAATTACATGTCCATATACGTGGGTTGCCGGGCTATACTTCATTCCTGAGCCTCGAGGCATATGTCTGATACGTTACTACTATGAGCTTGCAATGGTTTTCTAGTTTTTGTTATTGTCGTGTTGAAGGTTTGTGAATCCCGAGGCCACCATTTTTGCTGATTAGGGAAAATAACAACATATTTTATATTTATAGTGTCTTAACTGTGTTGAACTGTACTCTGTTGTTTTATTTATAAAAAAAACCTTTCCAAACTGTTTCCTCACAGCCTTCAATAAATACACCTCAAGAATTACATGCATTGTAATAAACTGTAAATCAAATTTAAAAGTTTTGGGAGTTGTAGAAGGAATATCTCACAAAAGAATATCAAGAAATGACAGAACTCGTTTTGAGACAGGATCAGAGGAACCAAAGCAAACCGCGATTTTCTCGATCCTTCACCAAATCAACTTCTAAGTTTAAATACATCATTTTCAACTTGAACAGTAGATTTTCAAAATTATCGGTAATTTTTATTTGGTTCATTTTTTTTGAATATGTTTTTATTTTGTCAAGTTATTTTTGAATTTTAGAATTGAAATTTTGTGTGAGCTGAAATTTATTGAGATACAGTTATTTACCAATGGCAGTCTGAAAGAAAAAATATATTCCATGTCAAAAACATGAGCATGAGATCAGTACTTTTAATTCTATACCATCAAATTGAATTAGACACCAAATCTTCGATGAAGATCAACTTCGTTACCAGTTACCAATAAGTTGGTGACTATGAGATAATCGTTCGAAAACTATAGTTATTGTACCTAAACAGAGAAAAAATTTTCAGTATCCAGTACCAATAATTCAAAATCAAACATATTTAGTACTTTTATTTCAAAATTTCTTGAAATATTTTCAGTACAAGTGTTAGACAAATGGGGTCTATCAAGTATTGTATTTCTTGATACTGGATACTTTAACATTAGCTTCTTTTAAGCACCGATTAAAAAATCTTACATTGAAATGATGTTCAGATATCAAAACTATAAAGATTTTTTTTCATCAATATAATTCAATACTTCAAAATCTGTATTAAGTATTCAATTAATAATACTGGAGTTTTTTCCCAACACCAAATCGTTATTTTTAACGTGTTAAAAGGTGTTAAAAATAACGATTTGGTGTTGGGAAAAAACTCCAGTAATATTCATTACTACATCAAAGGTTCCAAACAGTGCATCATAAGTGTGTTCAATTAGAAAAATTCTCACCCCATTCATATAAGCTAGAAGCATATCTTGGAGTTTTTTGTCGTCATTACCGAAATGTGGGGCAAATATCCTGTATGCAGCTTCATCGAAGAATAATGCTAATTCAACCGTCAAACTAGGAGTGTTGTATGCTGCAGCTTCTGGATAATTGTTTCCATAATATCCTCCAAAATTGTTACTACTATCTCTTGTGTTATGGTACCTTCTGAAATTGTGTATATCGTCTGGCATGGTATTTCCATAATACCTCAAAAAATTGTAATTGGCGTCAATAACGTTGTTATAATTTGGCCTGCTATCTTCGTTTTCCCCCCAAATGCTCCCAGCTATCGGAAATGCTTCATTATTCAGGAAATCTGTCAAGAAATGGGCTCTCTTGACAATATGGGGGATTTTTACTTCACCTTCTCCAAAAAATGTTTCAACCAGAGGTGCCTCAAGTTTTAACATCGCAAGTAGGCGTTCCGTTAAAGGTTGCAATTCTAAGGTAGTGTTTTCTAAGAATATCAAGCCTTGCTGAAATCAAATGTTTATTCAAGTACAAAAAAAAACAATAGTAATAAATCGTAACACAGAAATTATCAAGTAAGTAAAGACAATAACATCTATGGGATCAGCAGAAGCCTGAATCTACGAATGTCAAAGGCCAACATCGACCACCTAACGAGATACCTTCTTCTACGAGTATCTTTCCCTGCAGGCTTCTTTGCAAGGCAACTAGTTGAAACCATATCCCAAAAATAAAGCATTTGTTATCCAATAGAGATGAGGGAGAACTTACGACTCATATTGAAAAAAAAATTAAATATACAGTTGAACAAAATTCAATAAGCCACTGTCTGATTACATCTTCTTAACAATGAAATAAAANCTTTAATACTGTCACTCCATTTACATCATGAAGGTAGGTTTTGAAATTCGAAGCCGTTATGTCTGGATTTCTTCGCAGTTTTAGATCTATTGGCCTTAAAGAAAGGTTATTCAAGATATGTAAATAATGTTTACTGAACATTTTCAGTATATTGAAAAAGGATAAACATTGTTGAACTTTGAGAAGTCTACTAGAAATATCAACACTATTGTCCATAGTACTGGATTCTGTACTAACTCAATATTAGTCTATTTTTTAGTTCAAAGACACTATAGTAAAACTTCATTTATGTAACGATATGTATATGATAGAAAGTCGCTTCCCAAAGGTACCTATGGAGTTTTGATGAATGTAATAAAAGTGGATCAAAGTCAAATTAGTTGATGAAAGGTGAATTCAAACAACCTGCTACTGAACAAAGAAACAACCTAGAAATATTCAGATAATGAAGACTAGGAGTTTTTTTCTTAATGTAATCCCCATTCCCCATAAAATAGTACGTCACCCGACTTCCTGTATTCGTGTCTATGAATTGTAATATTGTAATTGTTATTCAGCACACGAGTAGTACTGTAATCAGGGTTACTTTTACTGTAACCCAGATTCCCATTCTCTTGTTCATATCAATGGTAGTTTGAGACGAATATTTAAAAGCAGAGTCAGTGTTGCATTCTTGACAAAAAACTAAAATTAATAAATATATAATGATAACAGTAGAGACGATAGAAAAATAATTTTATACTGGATGGATTTCTTGATTTTGCGGTCTGTAGGAATGTTAAGTAATACGATTCCAATCTTCCCTTTCACTTAGCTACAGGTGAAAAAGGCTACAGAAAAAAAGTATTAAAACGCCTTGCACCAAATTTTTGAGCGGCCTGCGCAGAATCTGTCTCAAGAGGAGAGACATGAGCAGGTTAACAAACGTTTGCGCTCGAGCGATAATTCACCGAAACTAGAGGCGAAAAAGCCCTGCACCGCTGAATCTAAGGCATCGTCAGGTGCACCTGACGTGCAAAAACCCTCATATGGGAAAGTTGTCGCGGGTATCAAGGTAGGAATCTTGCACCTTGATTATCCGACTAACTCATTAACGGCCAATCAGCTGAAATCTTTTCAGGGGGCTAGTTTGTCGGCTGTGGAGGTTATTCCGGATAATGGGTCACAAGTACAATTCCAGAGCTGCGTCTTTCGGCCTGGATGGTTACAGGTGGTCTATGAGGCTTGCGGTTGTAGTTAATACCCTGCGCTTCCCTGAAATGCGTCATAGGGGACCAACTTCCGAAGCAACACATCTGTGTGGAGTGGACTATCCTCTACAAGGAAAATTCAGGACCTGGTCAAACATGGACCTTCGCTGTAGACGATGGGTCCATGGCCGTGCTGGCGAGGATGGGTTTCACATCACATTTTGGTTTTGGGCAGATCTTATTCCGCTCTCGGGGACTCTCCCACAAGAAACTACTCAATCGTGTCACTTTAGTGTACCCGTTAGAATAAATAATGCGGGGCCGAGTGAAAATCCACCTACGGGGAGGAGTTTAACCAAACCTCCACCCCATCATAGCGGTAAATCAGCGGCTCACACCCGTCCCAATGCCGGGAAAACAGGTGTTTCTCAGGGGACGAAGCCAGAAAACGTCTCGTCGAGAAAACCAGGGAAAAAGGCCGGACGTGGCTCTCTGAAAGCGAAGACGAAAAACGTCTCGTCAAAGGGACCAAAATACCAGCAGGCAACTCAAAGACGGCAGGTGTTCTCACCTCATCTGAGCCTACACATCCCTCGATCCTGAGAGAGGAGGGTGGAGGTGTCCTTAAGGACCCGCAATTTCGTTCCTCCTAGGGTCGAGGGGTTCGAAGTTTTCGGCAACACTTGTTAACTTCAAGTGTTTGCATGCAAACTTACAACATGCCAAGGCCGCTTCATACGTCCTTGGAAAAAACTTCAAAGATGAATTAATCGACCTTGCTTTCCTGCAATATCCATGGACAGGAAATACAAGCCGAGTAACCGGACTGAGCAATATTCCTGGTGAGGTAATAGCGTGCCCTGGGGTGAAACCCAGAGCATGTCTGGTCATCAGGAAAGGTATTAATTACTTTTTGCTTACATGATTCCATCTAGGACAAGAAGGGTAAGACGAATATTATCGCCTGCTCTACCTACTTTCCGGGAGATTCGGATACTGTACCTAATCTAGCTGTTGGACGACTTATCGACTATAGCAAAAGGAACAAACTACAAATCATTATGGGAATTGATGCCAATTCACACTACAGCGTGGGGCAGCACGAATATAAATCGTAGAGGTGAGTTACTCTTTGAATATATACTAGGGGAAGGGATGTCTGTAATTAATGAGGGCTCGGAGTAATAGGCAAGAGGTATTAGACTTAACCATCAGTTCACATTCGCTGAACAACAAGATACACCATTGGTCTGTATCTACTGAACCTTCTTGTTCAGACCATAGAACAAAAGCCTAGAAAAGAAAAGAAGTTCGACGATTAATCAATCGAGCTAAAGAGTCAGGTAACTGGGAGCTTCATAAAACTAGGTACTCTAACGATATACAACAAGGAAATCAGAATGGCAAAACGGGAGTCTTGGAGGAAGTTCTGTGAGAGTATCTCTGATTTACCTCGCAGCACAAGAATTCACAAGATTCTCTCTAGAGAGCCGACTGCTGAAATTGGGTCGCTTAAACGACCCGCTGCAACATTCACGACCTCTAGTAAAGAGCTTTTAATAAAAAAACACTTTCCTGGAAATCCGGCTCTTGATAACAACAGACCCCCCATCTTCGAGGGTGCTAAACCCTCAAAAAAAGAACGATTGGGACGTCGCAGTTGAATGGACTATCAAATATTTTCAGCACTTCAAATCTCCTTGAGAGGATGGTATATTTCCAGCTATCATTATCATTATATGCATCTCCCCTGAATAACCACCAGTATGCTTATCAAACCGGCAAATCGACAGATTCAGCATTAGATAACCTTGTTGAGAAAATCTCCCAATCCCTTGACAAGGAGATTGCGGTTGCTGTATTTCTTGATATTGAAGGAGCATTTAACAATGCACTACCTAAATCTATAGGATTGTCTCTGGCTAGGAAGGGTATATAATCGACCATACCTGGCTGGATCTATGCCATACTAGTAAACAGAACTGCAACTGCGAATCTTCAAGGTGAGGACATTAGGTTCAGGGTCAGCAGGGGCTGCCCTCTAGATGGGGTACTATCTATCTATTACAAGGTAACTTGTAATATCCTCTAAAGCGCTGTCGACCCCAGCAAAAATGTGTTAATCCCCGTCACCAAGAGGACAAAATTGGACGATCTAACGCCACTTTCCCTCATTGGTAAGGTCATTCCATTTGGAACGCAAGTGAAATATTTTGGCATTATCCTTGATGAAAAACTCACCTGGAACGCTCACTTGGAAAAAGTTTTAGACAAAGCCAGACTGTCTCTATAGACATGTCGAAGGATTTGTGGTAAAACTTAGGGTTTAGGTCCCAAACAAAACTGGATTTATGTGGCTGAAAGCTTTACAGAAAACGGACCAAGCGAAGCTTTCTGGCTTACAGAGACAGGCTTGTCTGGCTATCAGTGGTGCCATCAGTATCACACCGTCAGCGGCCATGGAGACCCTTTTAGATATACCTCCTCTCCACAGTTTTCTGGAGAGAGAGACTAGATGGACTTGTGCACATTGCCATTTGCACATATCAATTTAATGCAGAGTGCAACAGACTGTTGGTTGACACTGGAAGTCACAGCATTCTGGAAATGACCTCTGACTTTATTCCTCCAACTGTCAACTACGAACTTCCTTATAAAGTACTATGCCCAAGTAGAGAGGACTGGATTCTCCGGGAGAAGGAAATGTTAAGAGCAGATAGTTGTCGGTTCACAGATGGGTCAACACCTTCCGGTTCTGGTGCAGGTGTTTTCACTCGCAGACCCAGGACAAGGATATCTACCCGCCTAGGAACTTATGTGACTGTATTTCAAGCGGAAATTTACGCTATTGAATTGTGTGCGGAGAGATTGGATAAATCCAACCTCACACAAAAGTCAATAAAAATATTCTCGGACAGTCAAGAGGCGTTGGTAGTTCTTGGCTCCTACCGAGCAACGTCTAAATTGGTAGCAAATTGCCAAAAACGACTCTCCTCGATGGGAAGACTTAACAGATTGTCTCTGGTCTGGATTCCTGACCATACTGGCTTGGAAGGCAACGAAGCTGCTGACTTCCTTGCAAAGGAAGGTGCTGCAGGCAGCTTCATCGGACCAGAACCTGTCATTGGCATCGCTTTAGGCTTTTTGTCAAACAAACTTTGAACACCTGGATGGCAAGAAGATTTATGGACTTCTGGCATAATCTACCAGGATTGGCTCACTCCAAGGCGTTTATTCACCCTTCGAAGCTTGATTAAAGGAAAGGTTTTGGTTTTCTACTTCTTCATCTTTAAACAAAAAATGTATTCCAAAATAAATTCTACAAAGATCATGCATAAAATTCACTTTCAGATACAGAATGGAAGAAAAATCCCTTCCGAAACAACTACTTTCATATGAACATTGCTTTCGAAAGTAATAAGTTTAAAAATGATCTTTTTACAACTCTCTTATTATCATCGCCGATTCTTTTTCATTACGATTATATGTAGGACAAAAACGTACATTTAAGGCAAGAGTTTATTCAAGAATGGCGGTGAGACGGGAATTCACTCATTGGTCCATTTGAAACACATTTGATTACCATTGGTTGACTGTAAATGCTTATTAAACATAGCTGAATAAACTTACTTGGCTACAGGTGAAAAAGTTAATTCAGTAATGAAACGCCTTGCACCAAATTTTTGAGCGGCGTACGCAGAATCTGTCTCAGGTGGAGAGACATGAGCAGGTTAACAAACGTTTGCGCTCAAGCGATAATTCACCGAAACTAGAGGCGAAAAAGCCCTGCACCGCTGAATCTAAGGCATCGTCAGGTGCACTTGACGTGCAAAAACCCTCATATGGAAAAACTGTCGCGGGTATCAAGGTAGGAATCTTGCACCTTGATTATCCGACTAACTCATTACGGCCAATCAGCTGAAATCTTTTCAGGGGGCTATTTTGTCGGCTGTGGAGGTTATTCCGGATAATGTGTCACAAGTACAATTCCAGAGCTGCGTCTTTCGGCCTGGATGGTTACAGGTGGTCTGTGAGGATCAGGTTAGCGCCGACTGGCTTGCGGCTGTAGTTAATACCCTGCATCTGTGGGAGGGCGCTTCCCTGAAATGCGTCACAGGGGACCAACTTCCGAAGCAACACATCTGTGTGGAGTGGACTATCCTCCACAAGGAAAATTCAGGACCTGGTCAAACATGGACCTTCGCTGTAGACGATGGGTCCATGGCCGTGCTGGCGAGGATGGGTTTCAGATCACAGATCTTATTCCGCTCTCGGGCACTCTCCCACAAGAAACTACTCAATCGCGTCACTCTAGTGTACCCGTTAGAATAAATAATGCGGGGCCGAGTGAAAATCCACCTATGGGGAGGAGTTTAACTAAACCTCCACCCCATCATAGCGGTAAATCAGCAGCTCACACCCGTCCCAAGGCCGGGAAAACAGGTGTTTCTCAGGGGGCGAAGACAGAAAACGTCTCGTCGAGAAAACCAGGGAAAAAGGCCGGACGTGGCTCTCTGAAAGCGGAGACGAAAAACGTCTCGTTCAAGGGATCCAAAATACCAGCAGGCAACTCAGAGACGGCAGGTGTTCTCACCTCATCATCTGAGCCTACACATTCCTCGATCCTGAGAGAGGAGGGTGGAGGTGTCCTTAAGGACCCCCAAATTCGTTCCTCCTAGGGTCGAGGAGTTCGAAGTTTTCGGCAACACTTGTTAACTTCAAGTGTTTGCATGCAAACTTACAACATGCCAAAGCCGCTTCATACGTCCTTGGAAAAAACTTCAAAGATGAATTAATCGACCTTGCTTTCCTGCAATATCCATGGACAGGAAATACAAACCGAGTAACCGGACTGAGCAATATTTCTGGTGAGGTAATAGCGTGCCCTGGGGTGAAACCCAGAGCATGTCTGGTCATCAGGAAAGGTAATAATTACTTTTTGCTTACAGGCTTCCATATCGGACAAGAAGGGTAAGACGAATATTATCGCCAGCTCTACCTACTTTCCGGGAGATTCGGATACTGTACCTTATCTAGCTGTTGGACGACTTATCGACTATAGCAAAAGGAACAAACTA